AGCATAAATCAGGACGACTACCTAGCATTATATACATGAAGTATCTATCCTATAAGCTCACGATATGGTGCAAGTTTAGAACATTCACCATTATTATTTTATTTTCCAAATTAAGTTTATCGTTAAATAGGTATGTTGAGAATATTACAAGCATAGATCACTTTTTGATCTCACAAAACCTAATTTAAATAAGTAAAAATTCAGTTTTTCATACCAGCATTTTGGAGATTGACGAAGGCCATATAGTGCTTTCTCTAATTTACCTACCTTTGCGGGTTTAAGTCTGGTATTTTCATGTACACTGGTTGTTTTAAGTCTCCATTCAAAAACGCGCACTTTACATCAAGCTGATGTATTTCCATATCTTTTTGAACACTTAAAGATAACAAGATACGTAATGTATGCATTCTTGCAACCGGTGAATACACTTCTTCAGTTAAGTCTGTTTCTTGGTATCCGCGAGCCACCAATCTTGCTTTCTTTATTTTCTCACCATTAACATCTTTTTCACGAAAAATCCATCTAAAATCGATCACTTTTTCACTATCTGGAATACTTGATTTAGGCACTAGTTTCCATGTGTTGTTTTTCTTCAATGACAATAACTCTTGATTTACTGCTTCATTCCATCCACTATCATTTACAGCTTCCTGGTGTCTGGAACTTGAGTTGAGAAATTTCCAATTGATAAAGCCATCATCATTTCATAATCGTCATAGCGTTTAGGTAAGACTCTATGCCTTATTTTCTTGTGCGTTCACATCATTATTTTCAATTTCATCATTCTCACTTTGATTTTCACCATCCAATTCAGATTCATTCTCTTCATTTTCATTCTCACATTCTCATCTCATTCTCCTTCACTCTTGTTTCTTCACCCATCATTTTACTTTCATCAAAAATTACATTTCTGGCGGTCACTATTTTTCTGGAATTTGGGTCCTATAAACGATATCCATTATCAGTATATCCCACCAAGAACATCTTACGGCTTCTGGGATCCAATTTTCCATGTCTATCCTCTATTGGAATATGTACAGGGTGGTCCAAATTGGACACTTTCTTATGGAAACACCCTTTATTTTTAGAGATAGAAAAAAATGAACCCCCCACTCTGAGGCTCAAATTTCATGAAATTTTGATTGATGCAAACCGCATTTTGATATCTTCAACCGTTTAGCCGCTAGAGGGCGTTTCTCGATTTTGAGCAATACTGTGAAACCTTCATAACTTTTTTGTTTATGAAAATAATTGATTTCCGTAAAGACTTCCTAGAGGCACTTTTTTAAGAAGAATTCAGTGACGTTCTCAGTTTTTTTCTAATTGACTCGGATTTCGAGATATTGACCAAAATTCGATTTTTTTCAATAGAACACCCCATATATTAATAGCTTATTGGAAAGCTCTGCTTTTACTGATTTCAATGATATAAAGTTCGAGAGGTTTATCCCTAACAGTTTCCGAGAAAAAAAAATTATTTCTGTTTTTGTCATAAGAAACAATGTGTTAGAAAGAGACCTTTCTCGTTTTCCTTACAGATATAAAGTCCTTTTCCAACACATTGTGTCTTATGACAAAAATCGAAATAATTTTTTTCTCGGAAACCGTTGGAGATAAACCTATTGAATTTTATATCATTGAAATCAGCAAAAGCAGAGCTTTTCAATGAGCTATTAATATATAGGATGTCCTATTGAAAAAAATCGGATTTTGGTCAATATCTCGGAATCGGAGCTAAATAGAAAAAAGCTGAGAACGTCACTGAATTCCACTTAAAAAAGTGCTTCCAGAAAGTCTTTACAGAAATGAATTATTTTCATAAATAAAAAGTTATGAAGGTTTCACAGTATTGCTCAAAATCGAGAATCGCCCTCTAGCGGCTAAACGGTTGAAGATATCAAAATGCGGTTTGCACCAATCAAAATTTCATGAAATTTGAGCCTCAGAGTGGGGGGTTCATTTTTTTCTATCTCTAAAAATAAAGGGTGTTTCCATAAGAAAATGTCCAAATTGGCCCACCCTGTACAGTCATGAGCATTAAAAGTGGGACACCGGACTGACAGGTCTTGTAATTTTTCGCTATTTTGGGTAAATCAGTATTTTCTGTACAACGGATTTTTTGTCAAATATGACAAACCTGTCGTTGCTGAAGGTGTAGCTGGAGAGCCTGTATTACAATAGGAAAAATCGAGTGTCCCATTTTTTGGCTCACGACTGTACATGTGCTGTGCAATCAAAAACTCTTATCTTTTGAAGATTTGGTTTTTGTATGTGCCAAATTTCAGATGGGGTTTTATTCTCTGATAAAACAGATATTGGAGTTCTATTTATGAGAAATGCTGATGTGGCAACAGCCTCTTTCCAAAAATCTCTGCCTCAAAACTCAAGCCTCTTGCTTTTTCTAGAGGGTTCTATTGTAACGTTCGGAAATTCCATTTTGTTCGGGGGTCCTTGGTATTGTGTATTCTAACTTGACACCTTTTTGTTTACAATAACTCTTCATTTCGTGAGAAATATACTCCCTGCCATTGTCACATCGTACTATATCAGGTAATTTACCAGATTTGTTATTGACCATTGTTATGTAATCTTTAAATTTCTGGCAAACTTCACTCTTATGGGTCATAAAAGAAATGACTGAAAAATGCGAGAAGTTGTCTATGAAACTAACAAAATACCTACTTCGTACCATTATGCGTTACTGGATTTATAGGCCCACAGACATCACTAGAAATCACTTCTATTATTCTTTTCGCCTTTCTCTCTTCTGGCAATTGTACAAATGGTCTTCTTGTCTGTTTCCCTTGTAAACAGATTTCACAAATTTTTCAACAAGGATACTTGGACGAATGTCCCATTCTTCGGTGTAAAATATCTTTTCCTGGCACTGTGATATTTGCTTGCATTTCTGATATTTCAAAGTTCACAATATACAAATTTCCCATCAATTTTTCTGAAGCTACTTCATTTTCACCATTCAAGACTGATATTTGGCTTTTCTCAAAGATTATCTTGAGGCCTTTTCCTTCTATTTTCTTTACAGATAATAGATTATGCGAGAGATTCTTACCTACTAAAACATTTTGCAACTTAATGTTTAATCCATTCTTAGCTTTTAAGTGCAGTGTTCCTTCTATGTGTGCTTCAACAGAACCGTCTTGTTTAGCAACTTTAATGTAATGCTGAACTTTCTTTATATCTACCAGATACTTTTCCAAATTTTGTGTCACCAAATGGTTTGTTGCTGTACTATCCACTACAAAATCAATAGTACCATTTCCAGAGTTACAATTTTCTGAGGTTACGCATTTGATAAAAGTTACTTCCTGGTCTTTAGCAACATTTGCATTTCTTTTAGGGTATTTATTTTGGTCTTCTTGCTTATTTTTGAAACAATCCGATTTCTTATGTCCTCGTAAGCTACATCCATAGCATTCAAATGGAAATTTTCCCTTCTGCAAGCTCTTCTTTTTATGTGCTCTGAAAGCCTGTGTGAAACTTTCACCATGACTATCACATTCCTTTTGTCTAGACTCTTGCTCATGACAAAATCTAGGGTAACTGCCTGATCCTGACAAAAGTAAATGTCGATTGCTGTAATCACAGTTTGATATGGTATGACTGCCAAAAGTTGGGTTTTCAGTTCTGTGTCGCTTATAGTCCCACCAAAATTCTTTAGTTCCATGACCGTTTTTTCAAATTCTATCAGAAAAGCATTCAACGATTCAGCTGAGTTGAATTTCATGTTCCTCAACTTGCACTGAAGTTGCACCTGTATAGCCAATCCACTTTTCTGATAAGTTCCGCTTAAGGTTTCCATAATTTCCTTAGCTGTGGTTTTCAACTTAATCATCTCCAGCACATTGTCCGCTAGACATTGAACGATCAAATTTCGTGCTTTCAGATCTTTCTTCTTCCATGCGCTGAGTGCTGTTATTTCTGTTGCTGTTGGCGGATCCTCCGTCAAGACTCCCAGATCATCATGGTGTTCAAGTAGTAATTTCACTCGAAATTCCCAATTACTGTGTCCAGAACCATTGTGTCCAGAACCATCGAAAGGTTTCACGGTAATTGTTCCACTACTTGATGCCATTTTTACACTGGTTTTCGACTGCGATTACCTAACCCTTTTTTTTTGACACCGGTAATAAATTCCACTTTAAAACGATTTTCCGCGAACTACTCTATTTTCGCGACTGCCTGGTAACTGGGTCCATAACCTATTAACCAGAGGCTTTTGTTTTAAATACTTTTATTTAATACAATTACAAAAGGTTTATTCTGATAAACAAAATATATGCACTTGCAGCTGACAACTTTAACAACAACAACTGCTGACACTAATGACAGGATGTCGGAAAGTCATAAAAAAATTTGGGGTACGTTCGCGGAACATTTCGATGTTCACACTTATTTGCAAGTGGAAAGTTGTACTTTTTCGCACACTATATACAGTGAAGTTACTTTACCGCATAGTATGTAATCAAAATTCTCTTATCTGTCCAATATTTCAATAATTCGAGATGTAGAGCTTATGGTAAAATTTTGTATACTTACCACATGCGGAAAGTACTTTTATCGCCCTTATAACTGCTTGGTTAACTGCAGTCGCGTGCGGTAAAGTATTACTTTCCACATTTATTAAATAAATAACTATATAAATTAATATGGTCGCAGTACCGCTAGTTTGGGATGTGAATAAAGGTTCATGAGCAAAAGGCATGAATTTATCAATGACATATGACACACATCTTTTTATGCTTCTTTCATTTTGCCGCAGGTGTATAAATAGACACCATAATATAAAGATAATTCGTATTCTAAAGCACGTTTAGGTGATAAAACTCCGCGTTTCGCTTCGCTTTATACTTAGATTAGAATCCGTTATTATACCACCCCGGAAGAAAGCGAAGCCATTAATATTTCTATCCAATATCTTTAAATGCCGTCGTCAACACACGTTTTTATCATTTTTCTTTTTTTCTCTGCCATTTTTCCAGTTGGATAACATCAATCTATGCCTCTCCACCCTGCACTCGCAACACATCCAAGGCATCGAGGGGATTTCCGCACAGGAGCTGCGAGATGGCAAACTGAAAGCGATTTTGGCGCTCTTTTTCGCCCTCTCGAGGCACAAACAGGCAACCAAAGCGCGCCAACAGCAGGACATGACTCCCAACAGGTATGCAACCAGTTATTTCTGTACGATATTATATAAAGAACTTTTGGTTTAAGTATAGAGAGAGGATGCACAATTTATATGAACAAAGTTTTGTTGACTGAATGAGACTTTATTAGTTCCACTAAAAATAGTCAATTGATTTGGAACAAAAGTTGTGCAATTTTATATTTTTTAATTGTTGCAAAATGTTTTCGATGAGAAAATTATAAACTAGGTACATACTCTCAGAATGGTCTCGATGCTTTTATCATAAAATAGTTTTATCTTAGAGCAGTCCATAATTAAAACTTTATTGTCAGCAACACTCGACCCAGAAGTAATCCATTATGTTCCTAGGAGCATAAAAAATTTTATTTATGAGGTAATTTGTTCGATTTTTTCTCGCTCGAGGCAACAACGTCAATCAGTGCTATTATGCTCTTGCTATTAATTTTGCGTATTCTTCTCGCTAGATGGCAGCGTCAACGACCAAGTTCTCAGTACCAAGTTCTAAGTTCTGGAACAGTGGTGGCGATATGCATAAGCGGATATAAGCCATGCTTAGGGGAGGGGGCACGGAGGGGCCCGAAAGGGCCCCCTTTAACTACAAATATATATATATTTTTTTTTTTCATAAAAATGCTTTAAAATAAAATTGATAGATTTAAATACCAATATCGATCGATATACTTAACTGGTACATTCCTTCCAGTTGCGACCACTGGAAGGTAATTCAGTAAATTGAAAATATTGAAAAATTACTTGAGAAATTCCATAAGTCAGCATAGACTGCATGATCTTTCTATTTTGTCTATTAGACATTGCACAGCATCCAATATGGATATTCGGTATCTAGTTGCTCCAAAAAAAATATCCAATGCATAAAGGATCGAGCCACAGATAATCGAAACTTGAACTATTACCGGCTCTTGATTCTCTGGAAAACTTTCCTGGAGCCAATCAAGAGCCCGTGTAATATTCAAAATTCGACTTTTATCTACTCTGGATTCGCGAGAGAATTTTTCTAAGTGCATTCAAAGCTCAAGAGCCGATAATAATCAAAATTTCGAATAATCATTAGCAACTCTTAGGTTGATATTAAAAAAAATATTCTTTTTTCGTAGCTTCTAATTGGTCAAAGAACAATTTTCCAATGGATCAAGAGCCACAGGAAAACTTTCCTGGAGCAAATCAAGAGCCGAATTTAGTCAAAATTTGAACTTTTATCAACTCTGGATTCGCTAGAGAATTTTTCTAAGGGCATTCAAAGCTCAAGAGCCGATAATAATCAAAATTTCGAATGATCATCAGCAGCTCTTAAGTTGATATTAATCAAAATTTCTTCTTCTTCTTCTAATTGGCCCAAGAAAAATGGATCAAGAGCCACAGATAACCAAAATTTGAAATATTATACCTGCTCTTGATTCTTGAGAAAACCTTCCTAGAGCCAATCAAGAGCCGTTAATGGTAATAGTCAAAATTTGAACTTGTTTTTGAACTAAAAACGGGTGTACGGAGTGCTCCGGACATCAGAGCCGTGGCACTATCTACATTTTGACATTTAGTAAATAAACAAATGAAAATAAAACGAAGTCCCAAATTATTTGTGAAAGGTAACATTGCAGTCGCTTGAAGATGAAATGTTGTATGCCAGTCAGTCGGCCCAGAAAGTCTTTTTGTGCTGAGCTCGACGTACGGAGTACAATCGAGTATCGAGTGAATCTAGGGGCGTTAAGTCGGGGTATCTTGGTGGCCATTCAATTGTCTCACCGCGTCTCCCAATCCAACGATTTGGAAACATTTCATACATGTACCTGAACATTACCACCCAAATGTGGAGGAGCACCATCCTGTTCTCTCTATCTCTTTAAGGGAAAATCTGAGCTAACGTAGGTATCCGTTCGAATGTCAGAAAGTTTGGGTAGCGTTGGGCCGTCAGGTTTTCTTCAAAGAAAACTGGACCCAAAATTCTATTATTGATACGAAAAATTGCAACACGCTCGCAGAAAAACATTATTTTTATTTTAAGTATTTTTATTTAATTCAACTCTAATTTAATACAGATGGTCAACATTTAGGTCTATAATGTAATATATGTGAAAAAAACACGAAGTCGTGGTCTCAAAAATTTTAATATCAAGGTTACATGTTTCGCCCAATAATGGGCATCATCAGACCTATAAAAAGAAAACCTCTTACACTAAAAACAAACATGTACAAAAACACATACCTTAAACTGAACTCTTGGAGTGAGTGTATAAAACAGACGCATATACATTTTTGAGACTACGACTTGATGTTTTTTTAACAAATATAATTTGAACACAGGTTTCTCTGAGCCATGAACTATTTTTTCGAATCTATAATGTAATTTATGATAACTTTGAAATAATTAGGAAATGTATTGTTAATTATTGATTAGGTAATTAAAGCATCGACAGTATGGTTCCGTCTGGGCGTTTTTTATGTTCTTCTGATCCACATTTAATCAATTTTGCTGGAATATTAGCTTGTCCGGAAACTTTTCCGTTCTTTAGATTTATATCGCTGACACCATAGGCTGACACTTAGTGAAGTTAAAAAAGTATGTATAAAAGTTTACACACTTTTTTAACCTCAGGAAGTGTCAGCGATATCAGAGAGCCATATGTTTTGGACACATCGGAGTTATTTTCTTCTAGAAACGCTGCTCGTGCTGATGTCAGTTGTTTTTTAGAGTGTCAATCCCAGTAATGATCTGTTTTTGGACATTCTATCTCTAGATGTTTTTTTTTTTTCACCGTTGGTATAACTTTTCAAATCTCCGTGCTTCTTCAAAATCCTATCATACGAGTTTATTCACTAGCGTCTTCTAGTCCATGATTCATTTTTCTTCGACCCTATCTTTCTTACTTCTGTTTGTGCAATCTTGCAATCTTGGTTTGCTCTAATGTGTTCAATAATTAATGTTTAAAGCTTCAATATCTGGGTCATAAAATGAGTGGAAAGAAATACACACTAAGCCAACTGAGTCCAAGGAAATATTAGTGGAAAGCAGAACATTCGCAAGCGCCGTGTGTCCTGGCTAAATAAAATAAGGGACTCGTTTAATTGTAGCAATGTTTCACAGCTCAGAGCAGCAATCAACAAGGTCCAGATTCCTGTGATGAGAGCAAACATCTGATAGGAGATGCACTCTATAAGGAAGATGTTTAATGTATAATTTTAAGTGATTATAAATAGGAATTAAATGCCGTACAAGATAAAACAGGATTGAATTTGATGCCTGAGAGCACTTTTCGAAACATGGGGATCCAAAATTGAAACTTTGTTTCAAAGGTGGAAAAAGCTCCAAAGTCGAATAACTAGCTCAAAATTATAACCTCAAGGCTATGGGCCTCAAGAATTTAAAACTTTCTAGTTTTTCCCTTTATGATTGATTTAGGTGGAGGTAGGAAGAATGCTACTTGGAGTCGTCCTTAAAAAATGAGCATGTCAAAATTTTCATTCTCTCTGAGTTTTTGACTGACATGGGAGAAGCGATGCGACGAGATCGAAAGATATTTGGGAGCAGTGGCGACGCCAGGGTTTTATGTTAGAGGGGGCCAGACTAGACTGGTCCAGAAAAATTTAGGGAAGGCACTTGTTTTTACTTTATTGCTTTTTTCCTTTGGAATAAAAAATGGGAAATGCGGAGTTTTCCCGTATATTTTTGCACCCCACCTGAACTATACCTACTGCGGAAAAGTATAGTGAAAATAGTGCATTGGAATTATTGGAAAGAGATGAGTGGACGGTCGTGCATTTGAACGCGTTATTTTTTATAAAAAAATTATTTATCAATGGCCAAATATGTTACTGTTTTTGGGAGATCAAAAAACTCCGAATACATTAATAAAAAATGCAAACCTGTATTTAAAAAAATAAAGTTGATGATGATCGACAAAAGACGAAACGTCGGATTTCAAATTTGGCTACACCATTATGTGGAGGGGAGAAAGTTGCCCCAATAAAGTGAAGTTTATTTGAAATATACCTATCTCCAAATGAGTCCAGGAAAAAATAAATAAGATTTGGCAAAATTTTGTTTTTTTCCGTGTATCTCCGGAAGTGTTCGGAATATTCCAAATTTCGATTTGGGAGATTCAAGGGTGGCAGCAGCATGTAGAGCTATAAAGAACGTGAGGAAAGGTAGAATGGACGCAGCGATTGTCCAGATAATATCTATGGAATAATGGACTGAACCCTACAAGAAGCTGCTGACGGAGGAAAGAGAATAATTCAAGAGACAGATTGGGGAAAATGAAGTGCAGAAGCCGCATAACGGCGAAACAGGTTGGAATAAATGTACAAGATATGAAAAATGGAGGCCAGGAAACATTCCTATCGAGCTAGTCAAATGTGCGCCAGAGATCGTGATGGAAATTCTAACAGATCTACTTACAACGATCTTGTTATTAAGAGGGCACACTATACACCGTGATTTACGTAGCCCGTGCATTAAAAGTTGTCCAGTTTGCAGGTGGATTAGTAGAAATAGCATCTAATCCACCTGCAGGCTAATACATGGGCTACGTGAATCACCCTGTATATCTGCAGACTGGGAATATCTCCCAAATAAGTTCCATCTACAAATTCTTTGGAAAGATTGTACGGCGGTATTTAAAAAAAAAGAATTGAAATGGAATTTCCAAAAACATTAGAGCAGAATGGCTTTCGTGCTGGACATTTATGCATGGATGGCCACTTTCGCATTACAACAAATCATAAAAAAAAAGAAAAACTGTCCACACACCTGATATTTTTAGTTCTACGATAACGTGCCCTTGAGAAAACTTATCGAATTTTTGACAAAGACTAACCTCAGTAAAGAATACACAAGGCATAAGAGTCATTAAGTAACATTTATAAAAACCCGCAGAATATAGTAAAAGTAGGAAATCGGGCTTCAGAAAGTTTTCAAATTACGAAAGTCCTGAAGCAAGGTTGCTGTTTATCACCTACACTGTTCAAGATATACATTCAGGAGGTCTGGAAGAACT